ACCGAGGTGGCTGCCTCTACTGTACAGTAATGTGCGTCAATAGGGACCTCTGATATGAATAGGAGTGTAAAGGCTATTAAGGCGAACAAGTGGAAAAAGAAATAACAATGTATTGATTTAGTCAAGAATAAATGACACACTGCTTTTACTAATGAGCGTGGAGTGCAACCAGCACTTCTGAATCGTAGAAGCTGACACATTATCCCACGCAGACTCGCACCACTTCATGGCAGTTAGTAAGTCGACTGTATGTCTAGGGATGCCCAACTTCTTGGCTAGCACCGTAGCATAGAAGACGATCATTGCACCGCTGAGGCAAATGCCCTCCGCCTCTGCAAGCATGATGAACTCGACGATGTTTTGATCGATCTGTAGCTGGAATGGAGACGGCTTGTTCTTGAGCTGAGCACTTTCGTGAGGCTGGCGCAACAGCGCGATACGCCCCGAGATGATGCGGCCGATGGTGGCTTTCCCAGGGGGCCTTTGCGGACCGAACTCGACTTTGGCCCAAAGGGCCAGGTCTTCATACTTGACAGCGGGGGAGCTCTCAGCCTTCTTGATCAGAAGCAGCTTCTGCTGCTGGGTGAGGCGAGTTCTAGTCTTGGAGGAGGAGCTCATGAGGTGGGTGGATGGGTAGGGCGCTGGTGTTGTGGCAGATTCCGTTGTGCTTGGAGGAGGGAAGGAGTTATGTTCGCGCCCGAATTCAAATGGTAACTTCAATCACTGATTGGCTAGATCTGACCTCACTAGCCAATCACGTAGTCGCGCTCGTTGCGAAACCAGCCAATAGCGCCAGGATCCTGTCGAAAGTTAACTTAAATCAATGTTAGTTGTGTTCTTGACTGACAGCTGTATATAATGTATGTAAGGATATTAGTCGCACATTACTGTAAACATCAATCGTGCAGAGTCATTTGATAGATAATGTATGACTTCAGCTATAAAAGCACTCATTGTTCTCTCATTGACCACTAAACCAAGCAACAGGCTTAGTCCAATCTACCTGCAACATGGAGATGCCGCTACACGCGATTAATACAAATGCAGCAGGTCCCTACCGTACTAACTAACTAGTTATAACACTCGATCCGTAAGTCCAACACTGCGTACTAACCGGCTGGCTATCAGATACGACACTGAACGTGCCGTAGCTACCGGTGCGGCTGATCAGTGGTGGTGTTGGTCAGGAGCAGCCCGTGATCTCACGCATTGAAATACACGTCAATGGTGCGGACAAGCGCAAATATAAATGCAGTAGCTACGAGAATAAATGTGTGACCGCCAGCGACACTGTGCAAATTGCCGCAGTTTTTTACCCGCCGCAGTGGTTGACGGGGAGGCAGACTGTCCAGCGGACAAGTCGCTCTGGACACGCCACTGACGCCGGACACGTA